TACCATGTGAAAGGGTCATTTAACTACTTGCAATATACAGGTTGAGAACTAGCACCGTAGAGCAAGGAGTCATGAAGTAGACTGTCTTTTAGAGTCATTCATAAGCATCACAAGGAAAATTTGAGGGGATACTGGCTCTATTGAAAATGTGTAACAGATGTGTCCCCTGACCCATTTTGTCATAATGATTGCCACCATGGCAGCAATGCTGAGTACATTGATATGAACTATCATCGATCTGTAGAGTCAACCACTGTGGAGTTGATGTCAATGAAAAGTAGTCATTAGAGTCATGTAATCCAGGAATCCTGAAATAGTCTGAATACTATAACGCAAATGCAGTTTATAATTTTAAATAGTTATTAATAGACTATACAGAAATCGACAGTAAATTTGACCAGCCTCCTCTGACCTTTTATAGTATTCTTGCTAAAAGACTGAGTTCTCTGACAATCAAGTCTATGAAAAAAACTTTGTAATGTTGATTTTTACAGAGAAGAGCAGGCAGACAAACACCAAACCTACATGCTGCATCCATTCCATTCTTAAGTGCTGAAGGGAAGCCGCTACAATGTTTTCCTCAATGATAACTCACAAGGTATTTATAAAATCCCTCTGTCAGTGTCTCCAAACAGCTATACCTTTTTCAGAGTTTCCCCCTCTTCAACTCACTGCTTTTCAGGGATTTTACTCTGAGAAAATGCGCAAGATACACCAGGAACAGAGGATCAAAAAAGCCCAAATTGCTGCTGACTCAGAGGTGTTTTTAAAGTTTCAACAAACAATGTCTAAGTGCTTGCTAAATGGTTAACACCCTTTCCTTATGCTTTGCCAATCCTACACTTATCTATAATGCTAACACACTGAAATTACAGGTTCCTGTAAAAAGACATTAACGGTAATAATATACTTTATGGTGGTATTCATTTGTGGACCTCTTAAACAAGTTTCAACATTTATGAATTAAACATTATCACAGTAAGTCCAACTTCCATAGAGAAAATCAAAAGCCTTGATTTCCCTCGTGCATCAGTGTGCACTGAGAGCTATTTCATTGCTACATCAAACAGCATGTTGATGAAATTACTTTTAAGTAAACGCTTTCTCTGCTCTGGGTAGCAAGGGATTGAATATTAAAAGTATATTGTGTAGTGTGTACTATAAAACCTTGGGAGAAATTTCAAGAATTGTGACATCAACTGAAATAAATTTAACTGTACAGATATATTTATTATACATACATACATAGATACATACATACATAAATGACAATTTTCATTATGTCATGTACAGGAGGTACTCTTCAAACAGTGCATTAAACCAGCCAAAACTGACATGAAACTAACATATATCTCATGTTGAAAACTCTGAGTTGTATAATAGTAAAATAGAATCAGCCAAAGAAAGATGAAGGGTCCCCAGGAGCTGGTAGACAGCCAGCATGCCAACATCGGGCAGCATTTGTACACTGTCTAAACAGAGGGTCCCCATCCTAGAAGTGGTTTCTTCTGATTCATATTACAGAAAAAGCCAAATGACAGCATGGAACCCTAAAACTATCGCCACTGGATAGCAGCTATTAACTTAACAAAATGGAAACCTGGAATTCAGCTATCCTGGGTTTTCTAAACACCAAGATTGCATCCTCAATACATCAAAATTGGCCTTTGGATTTGGACAGCTTAAGTCTTGCCCAACAGGCAAACATAGGTTAATGTCTGTGCATGGATCAAAAGTTGGATGGACATGTTGCTACCCAGTTTGTTGGAAGTGTTCATAGCTCAGTCAGTAAAGTGCTTGCTTCACAAGCATGAAGACATGAGTTTAAGCCCAAGCACCCATGTAGAAAGGTGGCACATGCTTATAATCCCAGTGCTGTGAAGGAAGGCAGAGACAGCAAGACTCTTTGGGTTCACTAGCAAGCTTGTCTAACATAACTTATGAAATTCAGGCCAATGAGAGACCTGTCTCAAAGGAGATGGTAGCCTACAGCTCTCTCCTCTCTCTCTCTCTCTCTCTCTCTCTCTCTCTCTCTCTCTCACACACACACACACACACACACAGTAATAGGTACATAAGAAAATCAGGCATGATTTTCTTTTTTTTTGTATTATTCAAGATTTTTATTTTTTTTATTTTTATTTTTAATTTTATTTTTCTTTTTAGTTACATTTTGTTAACTCTGTGTCCCAGCTGTATCCCGCTCCCTCATTCCCTCCCCAACCCCGCACTCCCTCCCTGGTCTCCTCCCTGCCCCTTTCCAAGTCTACTGATAGGGGAGGACCTCCTCCCCTTTCATCTGACCCTGTTTTATCAGGTATCTTCAGGGCTGGCTGCAAAGTCCTCCTCTGTAGCCTAACAGACTGCTCCTCCCCCGGGGGGGGGGGGTCAAACAGCCTGCCCTTGAGATCCTGTTAGAAATAGTCCGTGTTCCCCTTACTTTGGAAAACTACTTGGTTACTGAGCTACCACGGGCCACATCCGAGCCGAAGTTCTAGGTTATATCCATAGATGGTCCTTGGTTGAGTGTCAGTCTCTTAAGGCTATATGAAAATGTAAACTTCATATATTTCTCCAAATCAAAGATTAATTAATTGCACTACTATATGAATCAAATTCTATGCAAATATATCACTACTTGTTTAAAAACAACTTATTTCATAAATGTTATCATAACACCTTCAAGTTAATGTACTTGTTTTCCATGAAAGTCACAAAATACTGAAAATTTTCATGGTAAAATTGTCTTCAGTGTTAGTGCAGTTCCAACGTCTTCAAAATTATTTTACTTGCTACAAATTTTGCAAAAACAAAAGTACTTAAATTTTTATTAAACTTGTTCTGGTTTCCCAGTGACATAACCTAGATAGTTAAACTTATACTTAACATAATCCATAATCTAGGCCATAATAGTGGACACAAGAATTTCAGCTTTTTAAAGTCTTTTATAACCCTAAAACTGATGGGATAGTATTCAGAAAGTTAAGCTATTAGGCATTTAAGGAGCTCTGATATGAGTGTGCGTGGCTTTCCCCTAAGTATCTAGAAATTTCATGTTATATGAGCTGATCCCCTATATTAACTTTCCAAACATATGGCACACAGACAAGTTAAATATCTAGGCTGATAATTACAAAACCACACCAACAAAAATGAACCCATTGTCTTACAGAAACAAGGAGCATAGTAATATAGAAAAAAATGTAAAAATGTAGAAAATAACATTGCAGCTAACATTTCCTCAGCAAGCACTGGACACATTCCTCAATAGATTCACCCGCTATGTCGTATGTCACATGTTTGAACAGTCAAGTCACACAGAGATATAAAATGAATTGCCAACCAAGCGGTAGACTGCAGCCTGAGTTCAGGCAATAGGAACGCAGAAGCCCACTGCTCTTGATGCCAGGTGACCTGGCCTACTTCAGTGGAGAAAAGGTTTTCACCCTTTGAAAATTATAGTCCAGAAGGAAGTGTATAATCACTGTCTAGTACTTAGCAGAATGTCAGTTCCTATAAATAGTAGGAACTTAACTCTTAAAAACATACCTATTCTTAAAGCAACTGATTATGAAATTGTTTGGAGAACAGAAATAAGTATGTTCTTAACAAATTTCGCAGCCATTAAATACATATCCTCTCCAAGTCAACCTAAGAGCATTTGTAAAGCACATTAAAATGTATTATATGGATTATAAAAGGGGGGGGAGTTTTGGAAACACTTTGATAAATGAACAGTTTGAAGTTTCTAAATACTTAGCTGGGGAAATACACAAGAGGTAATCATTCTCCTGAAAACTTGAATTTTCAGACAGATTGACATTTAGGTTCCCTAAAAAGCTCTCATGAAAGCCTACAATTTATGCCAATTAACATTCAGATGTTGTAAGTAATAGGAAAATCGATCTAGGCCAAGAAGCAACTTTACAGATGAAGTGACAAAGGGCAACACAAATACTGTTTTCTCCCATCCACCAGGAGGAGTGCTCCTCTGGAGACATTTGTCCCTCCTCAGCCTAAAGCACCTGGAAGACTGAAGGCTGACCCTTGCGTCTTACCCACAGCACAGGGTACTTTTAGAACAGACGTGACTAATGATACTTCAGTGTGCTGATTCACCTGGGGCCGGGGGGGCGGGGGCCGCGGGGGCCGCGGGGGGCACGCGGACGGGTGCAGTCATATGAGGCCCCATGAGAGAGCTGTTCCTTTTCATTCATTCACACATCAGGAGCAGAGTAAATGAAGCACTGCAGAGCACTTCAAATGCAAAGGGTTTAATTACTCCGACCTAAGTCTTCCGACTTATATCCTAATTTTAAAATCCTATCAGACCGAGGTTTTTGCCCACGCTGTGAAGGGAGAACAATGTCCTAAGTGACACGTATAGCTTCAATGGCTAGAACCCCAGCCTCACAGACTCATGCTCACTGCCTTTTGGAAAGCATCGCCTGTAGTACTTTTTAAAGTTAAATATTTTAACTGACTTGTTCACATTCTTAAAAAGAATAATGTAACTGTGGTTACTGAGCATGGTGGATTTATTCAAAATTACAACAGCAAAAGAATAAATACGATGTAATTCCTCACCTTTTAAAAATTCAATCAACTAATGTTTTCTGAGCAACTACTACAGACAGACATGCCACCAATAGACAAGCTTTCCAGGAGAAAACAACGAACAATCTTAAGATTTTATTATTATTACTATTATTAAGCACATTTATAAATTATAACTTTTTCAGGAAAAAAAACTTTAAAAAATCTGTTGCTCTGTAGCATTTTGGGGTGTTGCAAGTCTGATTCACAGTTGCAAGCAGATTTTATTCTCTATTCATCAGCTTCATTTTATTCTACAAAATACCCATTTCCTTTAAAGCAATCGATGACAACACACCTTTAAAAACAAAACAAAAATCTCTTCCTGTTTTCCCAAAGTCTGCCCATATTCGTTCTGGCATGGCACACGTGTCCCTGCAAAGATCCGCTGGGCACCCTCTCACCTGAAGAAGAGTTTGGAGATAAAGCTGGCTTTCTCCAGAGGCGACTTCTGCATGTCTCCGTGGTGCACCGAGGGCTGTGTCTGGTCAGGGGAAGGTTGGATTCGACCTCCGAAAATCCAGGACACGATAGATGCTTTTGGGTCATCCGGTTTTCTCAGACCTGAGGTGATGTCATTTGCTTTCAACACCCAACCCACCCACCCACCCAGTCGTTCTTTTACACCTCCCCTTCCTGCAGCCTTCTGCCCCCGCCTTGCAGCCCAGGTTAAAAGCCGGCACTGCCTAGCCCAGCCCCACAGTCCCCGTTCTCCACGCCCCGCGCCCGCCCCGTGCGCTCCTTCCTCCTGCGCCTCGCGCACGCCCGCCTGCCCGCCCGCCCGCGCACCTCCTTTTCTCTGGCTCTCACTCCCGGCGCTCTCCAGCGAACCCCACAGCCCTACCGTCCTCCACTGGCAGTATAAACTGCTGGCTGGGGCAAATCTTGGCCATGCTGCGGGACCTACCACACTTCCTAGGTGTGATCAAGGACTTCTCACTGACTTCCATGAACGTTTTTTCGTCCTCTCCTATTTCTTTCCCTCTCTCTTCCCCTCTTAATTTTTTCCCCCTCCTCCCTCTCTTCCTTGGCTTGTACCTTCAATTCTTTCTCCTTGATCTTTTTCTCCTTCTTCTTCTCCCTCTTTTCTTCCTCCTTCATCTCTTTCTCCTTCATTTCTTTCTCTGCCTTTATCTCTTTCTCCTCCTCTGCCTTCATCTCTTTCTCCATTTCTTTCTCCTCCTTCATCTCTTTCTTCATCTCTTTCTCCCCCTCCTCCATCTTTTTCTCCAGCTCTTTCTTCTTTTTGTTCTCCTTCTTCCTCTTCTCTTTCCTCTTCTTCTTTGCCTTCATCTCTCTCTCTCCCTCCTCCTTCTGTCTTATTAGCTTTTGGCTGAGTTACAGTTGACTTTTCAAGATCCATTTAGAAAGAGAGATGAAAATGTGGCTCCTTTGAATCAAAGTACAAACTCAGAAAGCGACGTTCCACAGTACTCCAAGCTGTCCAGCTCAGTAAGCCCTTCAAGAGCAGGACAGGATCTAAGCTCTGTTGATGGAAGGCTCTAGGGTAGTCATAGTGGCACACCAATGAGGTACATGTGTGTTATACACATGTCACAGTTCCCTGATATGTCATAAGTAGAGCAAGAGCCCTACCAAGGAAAGGGGAATCACAGCTTTCCCCTATAAGATACATGTATGACATATATACATGTCACAATGGCCTGATATGTCATAATTACAGCCAAAATCCTGGAGGACAAAGGGAACTCCTGCTTTACTCATTTTTCACTCAGGACTTGTGCACTGTGTGTGGTGTGATATTTCATGTTTCAGAAGGCTTTTATGTGTGTATGTGCTACAAAATGCCCAGTGGACAGTCTAAACTAAATGACCCGCTTTTAGATTTCATAGTTTTGCTAAGCAAAGTTATGTTAACTAAGACGCTGACAGGAACCCACAGTCACTGAAGCAGAGGTATCCTATTCACCTCAAGCTCACTGAAAGCCTGTACCTTTAGCTCCCTGAGGGCTTTGAGAGTTTCTCAGGTTGTGCCTAGGTTTTGGTAAGAAATTTGGGTCCTATCCAAAAACCTGGGTTTTAAAGAGCCAACACTGAAATTCCTAAACCCTATTGTTCCAAAACATGTATCAATAGAGTTTGAATATTTTTCCTTTTATTGATGAACTCAGTGGCTGGTTCTTTGACCACCTCCCCCTTATGGGGGAGCAGCCTTGCCAGGCCACAGAGGAGGACAATGCAGCCAGTTCTGATAAGATCAAATAAGCTAGGGTCAGATGGAAGGAGGACCTCCCCTATCAGTGGATTTAGAGAGGGGCAAAGGAGCAAAGGAGAGAGGGAAGGTGAGATTGGGAGGGGAGGAGGGAGGTGGCTACAGCTGGGATTCAAAGCGAATTAACTAATTAATATAAAAAATAAAAATTTAATTAAAAAAAAAGAAAATAGAAATTTCTTTTTAGCCAGGCAGTGGCAGTGCACACCTTTAATCCCATAAAGTGGCACAGCAAGAGTTCAAGGACAGCCTGGCCATCAGAATGGAGTTCCAGGAAAAGCCAGGGCTATACAGAGAAACCTTGTCCAGAAAAACCAAAACAAAGAAAGAAAGAAAGAAAGAAAGAAAGAAAGAAAGGAAGGAAGGAAGGAAGGAAGGAAGGAAGGAAGGAAGGAAGGAAGGAAGGAAGGAAGGAAGGAAGAGGAGAGAGGCAGACTTGGAGAGAGGCAAAGTGAGAGAGGGAGAGGAAACGAGAGGGGGAGGGAGGGAGAGAAAGGAAGGAGAGAGAGACACAGATTTTTTTCTCAGATCCTGATTACTGTTTTCCCTGCCTCTACTCCTTCCAGTTCCTCCCCACTTCCCCTTCAATCTGGATCTACTCCCTTTCAGTCTCTCATTAGAAAACAAACAGGTTTCTAAGGGATAACAAAATAATAAAATAAAACAACACATTAGAATTTGACAAAACAAACAGAAAAGAGCCCAGCAGAGGGCATAAGAAACAGACATCTGCTTGTTTGAATACTCAGGATCCCACAACATACTACACTGGAAGCAGTAATATGCACACAGAGCACTTGATAGAGACACATGCAGGTCTTGTGTGTGCTACCTCAGTCTCTGTGAGAACGTATGAGCTTTGATTATGTTGATTTGGGCATGTTTTCATGGTTTTCTCCATCTTCTTTTGGGTTCCCTAAGCCCTGGCAGGAGAATTTTGATGGCATGGCTGGCAATATTCCATTTAGGGATGAATGTTCCAAGATTAGAGTATGAGTTTTTGTATTAAAAAAAAAAAAAAAAAGTTCTGGCCTGATTCTTGCCTCACCATCTAAAAGCAAGGGTGTTTACTTGTGAATTATCTGATTTTTGACTTATGGACATCCAACTACACAAATTTTTATAATACTGCTAAGACAAGAAAATGCATTTAAATTAATGAACCTTGTGGACAAGAGGCTTTACAGCTATACTTCCCATATTTACATTTTCCTTATCTTAAAATAGTTGTAAAGATATTTAATTTTTAGTGTCCTAAATTTTAATTTTTTTAAAAAAGGGAAATGAAAGTTCTTAGAGACAGACACTAGGGGAAAGTTTCAGTGTTTTCTAAATCAGTGTTTTCAAGTACTGCGCATTTTTCTCTCTTCATTATGACAAAAATTGAAACTTGGTACTCACTATTGACTTTTCCCATCCACGCCAATGAACTTGCTTTATCCTTTCCCCATTCTGATCTGCTGTTTATAACTGTTAGTGTGATCCATCAATGTGATGGGTGTGATTAGCAGATTCTGAAATTAATTTGTTATCAGTGCTTCCTTGTTTTCAACACCATGTGACACTAGATATAGAATTAAATTTCAAAGATCATTAAAGCTGACCAAGCTATATGACTCCAGGAGATCTCAAGCTGCTTCCTCTTGAAAGGACAAGTGAAGAGGTAATGAGTTCTTGCATTTCTAGAGGCCATTCATTCAACAGCCATGTGCATAATATAGTATATATATATATATATATATATATATATATATATATATATATATAT